AAGGCAGTGCAGCAAAGCAGCAGCGAGAGAAAAGAGTTTTCGTATCGTGTCGGAGAGGAAGTCCTACTACAGTCTACTTCGCATTCGACTATTAATACTGCTCCCTACTGCTATGAATGAAGCGGACGGGTGTAGGCGCGAGACTGTCCACTCTTTGCCTACGCATTATCGTGTGTTGGGACGCCTGTTTGCTGAATGAACGTTCGCACATGAGGTAACACAGGCTCTCGTTCTATGCACTCTACCAACACCTCCCACGAACCTGCTAGCAGTACAGTTCCCGGGGTACCCTGTCGACACACAACCTCCAGCATCCGAAATTTGAACTTCCAATCAATGACGGTGTGCACGTACGGTGTGACGGAACCTGTACAGCTGCTACATGGTGGTTGCAGTTGTAGTTTGCGAACCGAAACCCGTGCCACGTCCACTATCGTACCCCATGGCGGGGGCTGTAGACGATTGTGGCACAGCACTAAGTTAGATCCAACCTCGCACGCAGTAAACTCCCAGCCATAGCACTACGTCTGCTGTGTGCTTGTAGAGTTTCGCGCGTGTATTGAGCGCGTCATCGCATTTGACGTTGAAAACTTGCCTCAACCAACCAACGAACGCTGTGAGCGAGAGTGCTATTCCGAAACGTGCACGACGGCGACGATCGCGTTCACCAAAGGATCCACGTTGCTGAGCTAGCGCCTTTACGTTGATCGCGATGGTGGAAGGAATTCCAGGAAAAAAGTGCGCAACATCCCCATCGACATATATATGCATGGCTTCAATATGGCATCCAGCAGCGGCAATACCATACTCTTTTCTCCGGACCATCATCTGATATCTGATTGTTCACCCGCCACTCGCCTGAACCATGTGCAACAGCAGTGTCGTCCCGGCGTGCAAGGACAAAACTGTAAGACACCCGGCTCACCTTACTCGGTCGCCCTCTAGGCGCTCTTCCTCTCCAATGGGGTACCCCTCTCCCGCCCTCTGCCCGTCAGGCGACCTTCCGTTGCTCTGGCCTTCTACAGCAGTACACCTGTATCGAGCTGCCTGTATCGGTGCATCACTTCATCACCCCGAGAGGGGGCTCGCGAAATGTTTTTTTAGTTTTTTGCGCGGGGGGCAGGGGGGGCACAGCTGGTTCTGGATTTATTCCTCATTTTGGTTCTGATTTGCGACCCGCATGTCGGATGTTGGATATGGATCTTTTCGCGAAAGGATTGGAGTAATTGGAGTACACAGCAGCACAGCAGTAGGCTCTTTCGGTACGCCCAGAAGCCCGCGACGATACTTTGTGGGTTAAACCAACACTCGAGGCCTCTGAATAACACACCGACCGGCCGTGGACACGATGACGACCCTAGCTGCCATGACACGGTGAGTTCTGAAACAGTCGAACCTACAGCAGTAGACAGGTGGGTGTGAACCCGTGAACACAGCGGTTTGTGCTTTGGTAGACCATGGAGATGTTCCCAGCGCCAAGGTATGAAGAGGACAAGATGCGACCTTAGGATCAACCTGCTGGAGAGCGTGCTGCAAAGGATTTACAACAATGCTTTCAAGCAAAAAATATGTCAGGTGCGTACAGTGTTGCTGCAACCTGAGTGAGTGTATAGTCTGGGCAGGAGTGTGGCCTGCAGGTACACAGCAGTGGACTCTACATTAGTGCTGCTGTGCGTCCTCACCGAAACCATGAAATGAGCTTCCCCGATCAAAATAGCAAACTGCAACACAACCTAGCAATGTACAGCAATCGCGAAATGGACGGGAAGAAGTCAATTTGGTCTAGAAGAGAGAGATATTGGGGTGAACTGGGGCATGGACACGAACATGTGTTTTCCCTGCAGCTTAATACAGACGTGAGAACAAGCACCTGCTGCACCCTCATGGCGCTCTTCCCATGATGGTATCAATCACCGTTGGGTATACTGGTGTACCAGGACAATCACCCGCGACAAGCCGGTGTTCGGGAAAACCACCGATCCATTCAACACGACAGCTGCGGGTGTTTCACCGGCGGCCGCGGCATCGGCGGCGGTGAGAGAGAATAGGCTTGCAAGCATACAGACAGACGTCAGCTGCGCTTCGCACATTAGTATCTTGGTGGTGGTCGAGCTTGGGCTCGGCAAGTGAACACCAGAGAGTGTCTTACCAAGGGTGGACTGAATGAGGCACCTTGGCGGTACGCATTGTTTCGTGCGAATGTTCTCTTTCGTGGAAAGGCGCCTCCTACACACAAAGTATACAGGAGTCTACATGAGTGAGGAGTCCCCGGCGAGACCTTGCTTGATCCGTAACTATTGGATGCCCCGCCAAATCGTTGTTACCTTTTTCCCGCGGCACAAACAAGGACTGCGCCCACTAGGTCGAAGAAGAGGTCGGCTGATTCGCATCTCTGCAGCACACCGAACACAACCCTTCTGCCTTGCGCGATAAGATAGTCTTGCGCCGCAAGGTTTTTGCACGACGATCGCGATAAACGTTGTTCAGACTATTCTCCTCCGTCATCATGTGACTCTTTGGCAGGGCGTGGGGGGAGCGGTTGCAGCTTCAGGGGCGTCTAACTTTTTCGTCATGTGCACGGGCCAGGTGGAGTTCGGCGAGGTATGTATTAAGTTTTCTGTTGCCCGCGATTTTAAGATTGTCAAGGGCGTCAATGGCGTCATCCTACGATAAGCAGGGGGCAGAACAATCTGCGGCTCGATGTTCTCGCGAGCGCAGCATGCCATATTGATGTAGCTCTTCTTCGCGCAGCTAGACGCACGCAAAGCTGTATAAACATTACTCAAATCAGCTTGCCTCGGGCCATCGTGCTGGTCCTCCAAGAGATGCTTGGAATATTATTGAAGGTGGTGTAGAGAGCACTGACGAGATTCAGATTCGCGCACAACCGATCAATCCCTGATTGCAGAAACAAGTCTTCGTTGCATCCGTACGACGTCGGTTTTGTCAAGAAGAAAGCGTTAAACACATTCTTGACGGACGATGGCTAATACTCAATCTGATGTGTAGAGGGTGCAGACGAGCATAAGATTCACTGTGGTTTTGCTTTCAGAAACACAAAAGTATGGCGCAGCAGCAGATTCATGCTGGGTTGTGAAATGCATGGTACAACGTATTAGTAGTATGCATTTGAGGGAGCATGATGTCGCCGACAGGGACGACCCATGGGCCGAGCACGCATGATGTCGCCGACAGGAACGACGCATGGGCGGTGTACGCGGCGGACATGTACAAGCGTTTCAAGGACGTAGAGGTATGTCGTGCAAGGTTCGTCCGTTCCAAGTGCAGCGACGAGCAGTGCGCAGCAGTTGTTCCATAGATAGCATGTGCCGTCGGGAGAGTGTGAGAACATTGATCTTGGATCGCGCTTGTGCTACCGCTATACTGTTTGAGGCACAGGCTATCTATGGAACAAGCTCAAATAGTAGCATGTGCCTCAAACAGTATAGCGGTAGCACAAGCGCGATCCAAGATCAATGTTCTCACACTCTCCCGACGGCACATGCTATCTATGGAACAACTGCTGCGCACGGCTCGTTGCTGTACTTGGAACGGACGAATCTTGCACTACTATTGAAAACCTAGGTCCTTGTAGCGCTTGTACATATTCACCGCCTACTCCGCCCATACGTCGTCCCTGTCGGCGACATCATGCTCCGACACCTCCGACGGCGAAACGTTACACCTCTTCAGCTGCGACACGACCGTTCATCTCATTTCCAAGCCAAGAAGAAGGTGTCCACTCGTGTGCCGTTCTACCCAGGGAGGAGTGCAATTGATGAAACCGATGCACAGAGAAAATATTTTGTCAAAGAAGCCGACAAAGATATATATGCGCGCGCGCGTAAAAACAAGAACGAAAAAATACAACCACCGAAACGCGGCAGAAAAATCAGCCTCCGTGGGGTAGGTGGCAGATGTGTGCGCCGACCCTGTCGTTGGCAGACCAATCCTGGCCTCGAAGTGGGTAAACTCATTGTAGATTGAAAATTGATGGCAGGTAGGCAACTATACGCTGGCGCGAATTAGGCGAGATCGAAGATATTGTACAATGGACACATGGTTGGATGGATGTGTTCCGACGACGAAATGAGAGAGTCATAAGTCAACAATCATCAATCATCAAGTTGACAGATTCGCGGCGGAACATACTTCCGCGTGGGGGGGGTGCAGCGGTGTGGCCCGAACCTCTCATTGGTAGGCAAAATTGGTAGCAAACAGCCAGCGTCGAAGGTGTTTCTCATCCAGTTGTTAGATTGGACAGGGTTTCAGTTTGATGGCAGCCAGTCGTATTTGCCGCACGAAATGATCGAGTTCGGAGCAATTCGGTGCCGGGAGCATTTGCTGCATGCTCGTGTTCTGTGCTTGAAAAGACCGGTCACCGACACAGCCAAACGTTAACGCGGGAAGTATCAATCAAGCAGAACCTTGCTGAGGGTGTCTAAGGTAGTGCAGGACGGCCGATGGTTTGATTCCTCGCGCCTCGGGCGTTCGGCTCAGAAAAGTGCGTGATTCGGAGTTTCGGAGTGAACGGCGTCAGGCATTCACATTTTTTCTTACCGTTCTATGAGACCGCTAGAGATCGTAACGGTCTCTTAGCGGAACATCACGTTTGGGTTGGGTCGGGTTGTGAACCCCGCGACCTCGTGTTGAAAACCCTTCGACCAAACTGCTTCGATCCGTTTCTTGCGGTGGTAGGTGTGGCCACGATCGGGGGTACTCACTCAGCACCATGTTGACACCTCAAGGCGCACCAACCGTTAGGTTAGCCTGTGGAAAAGGCGTGAACCGGGACCTTCGAAACAGGAGAATGACCACCAAACAAATACTGAGATAGATACGCTTTGGCATTCCTGTTTTCAGCCTACACCTTCAAGGGTCGTGAGAATGCACGCGTCCAATCGGGATCTGATACATCTCCCCGTCGAGGCGAAACCGCTCTAGCCATGTTGTGGAGCTTGTGTGTTTCGTTGCCACGACCTCACAGCGCCACCCACCACATGCTGTGTGCTTGTCGGCTCCTTGCTCCGCAGTTCGGGAGCCTGGACAACCTCTACTGCAGGTATACACTTAGCTTCGGGAACGACTGGTACATTGTACACGTGAGTACGTGTTTGACAGCAGTCCGCTCGGGTAAAGTCAGACATTATAAAGTTGCCGATGACATGGGAGGACGACACGTTGATGCTGTTACCGTGCTAGCTGTAGCAACGTATCGATCTGATCGTCGATGCGTTGTAGGTAACTGCTGAATCTTGTTTGGCCGTCGGCGGAATTGTGATGCAGCATACGTAGCAGCTTTTTGGAGGGGTCAAGTGGGTCAACACGAAAGACGCACAGGAAGGAGTAGGTACGCTACGGAAATCACCGTACCCAACGGTTAAATGTTCAATGCATATCTGCATCAGAATCCAAGGACGCATGTAAACATCCTAATTGACATGTTGCGTGTGAGAGAGTGTATGTACCAACCGAAAGTTGAACCTGTTCAGGACGCCGCAGGGCCAATGCTTGTTGTGCACTGGCGTTCAACTGTCAACCAGCATCTTCATACCAACACATCCAACCGGTTTGCTGGTGTCAGGGTACTTGACGGGGCCATTTTGCTAGATCGATAAGCACACCAGCCGCTGTCCCGGCCAAGATCACCAGGCTCACCCCAGTAGTAACGGCACTCTATTTCCGCAGGGTCTCGACACGGGACTGTCTCAGATCGCTCAGCGGGCTGGAGGGCAGGACACATCCGTCGTCTGGAATTTTCCCATTGATATCACCTTCAAGAGCACGAACGCCTTCGGGTGGCCTCGTCTTGCCCTCAGCGTGAGTCTCGTGTTGGCCAACTCCTCTTCAGGTTCATGGCGAACAGAAAGCTCTCGACCACCGGTTGACCGCTGCTGCTGCCGATTCCATGACGGTTTGTGCCGTGTGCCTTGAATCTGTGGTGTTGTGCAAAAGAGAGCCTTGCCCACCAATATCAACCGAATCACGGAGATTCCCCCAGGTTGATTCTGTACGCAGAGCAGCTTGATTCCCTGAGAAGAGACTGGATGAACAGTGCAGGTATCTAGATTGCGTTCGTTCCGAAGCAAGTTTGTCCTTCAAAGCCAAGGATTATTGTTGGACTCCCCATAAAATAACGTGGAATGCGCACCCGTTACTTATGCGCCTAGCGACATGCACAATAATATGTCGAATCCAATGTCACCGGTCTCTGAAGCCTTCCGCTGGTACAGGCCTTCAAATAGACACTACGAGACAACCGGTGCATTGGTAAAATGCAAGATCCAAAGTACGTACCCCGTACCGGTTGTGCTCCATTCATCCGTTGGTGCGCCTCCAGCAACTCTCCCAAGCCCACAGAAGAACACTATCTCAACTCCCGCGAGCGAGCACCTCCTCTCTTGAGCACCTCTAAACACACTGCCTTCGCGTTACCAACTGGACTGATTCTACACAGCGCTCAATCATGTCTGCCGCCGGCATATCTTCGACGCTACCCTCCAAGCTACCCTCACTGTTGCCCATTGTCGTCGTTGCCACGTTCGTGGCCACCCCAGGTGTTCCGAGTGGACGATATGGGCCGAGACACGGTTGTCGGATACGGATCTGTCTTGATCCCAACCCAGGCAGGAAGGCACGAGAGAGTAGCGCACATGTACGCCCCTCAGCCTTCGTCGATGCTGCAACGATTCAGAGCCTGGGTGTCAGGCGCGTATCCAGAGGTGATTATGTTGGGTTTGCCTCAGAAGGACGGGCTGCAAGCTTTGGCGTGTGTCCTGGAAAAAGTGGCCTGAACTCATTGTGCATCGGATGCATATCGCGTGGAAACGATTGGCAATGACCGACCTTGCTGGCGTCTAAGGTGCTGGTTGCGCGGCGCGGTCGGTCTTTGAGTACCACAAAATCCTGTGCTAAGTTTCTCATGTATTCCTGCTGGAAATCCGTGGACCAGAACGGTGGGATTTGGAAACATATTGAAAACAACCAACGTACCATGCCTTGTGTGTAACCACCCACAACCAGGTGAAACACGCTAGTAAGGTTTTGGTCGGTCGGTGTTCCGCCGCCCATTGTCCGATGGCGACCCTGTCTAGATGATAAACACGTACTCGGTGCCCTGGACTCGCTTCTCTCGTCTCGTCGCCAGTTCTTCGATTCCAAGTTTGTGACTCGCGGGGAGGGGCGCGAGGTGACTAGAGTCAGGCGATCAGGCACGGTGAAGGTTTCCCTCGATGTCATGACCAGAGGTGAAAGAAAACGGCGGGCTTAGTCTTCTTTTCTTGGATTCAACACTCGAGCCCAATTGTTGGTGTTACGAAAGTACCATGGATACTGAACCGGTGAAAAGAGCGGTGGACTCGGCTTCCAGACTGGCTACATCACCCACACTCACCACAATTGAGATCCACTCAATGGAGAAGAACGTGACACGCACGTCGATTGGTATTTCTCCCCACAGGGATGGCGGATTTCGGCTACAACAGGCCCGAGGGAATGCAAGGAGTGAGCCAGGACCAGCGGTTTGAGTCCTACTCGGGAGGGGGGGGTTCGACCCACCGAGTCTCGTCCTCGATTTTCGGCAACACCACCGGAAGCAAAACAAGTTTTGTTGGGTGATCGGGAATAGAGACGCCGCGTTGACAGTAGTGGGGGGGGCTCCGCGACGTCCAGGCTCTAGCGAGGAGTCAGTTTCCGTGTCGCCGTTACCTGGCTTAGGCTAGCAAGCACCGGTGGTGTGTTGTACTGTACCGTATAGTGCATCGCTCCGTCGGGTCTCGACTGTTGTTTCCGTTGAACCAACCGTGGACTTTCAAGTGAGGCCGCAGGCGAGGCTATCAAAAGCGCGTTGGTTCTTCCTGTGCCGGACTCCCGACCACTCATTGTAACCGACTGACTGACTGAGTAGTTGTTGAGATAGAACCCGTTTTACGCGAGCGAGTGTATCGAGACCTTGGCTTGACTTACAGATAACGCCCACTTTGATAACCTCGATTTTGGCCGAGGCTGAGGTTCCTACAGTAGTTCCTCTTGTGGGCTACAAATAGGTGCTAGTGTGAGGGACTCTTGAGGCCGTTTTTACACAGCGATGTTGCTTGCAAAATTTCCAAATTTATTTCCAGATTCCGACTTTCTTTTCAGATATTCATTTGTTTTTTCCTTGGAACTCGAATTTTCCGATATTTTCCAGATTTCGGCGGTATTTAAACAGGAAATCACTGAAAATACTGTCTGTGGAAAAGGCGTGTCGTCACATATTTCTGGCCTATGAAACACGCAAGGGGGTACCTGACTCTCGAAAACCCGCCTGACGGCCCATTTTTTTTTCTCGCCTACCGGTTGACCGGTGCGAGCGAATGCCGCACCAAATATATTTTTTCGCGTTCGGCGAAAAGGTGCGCTCGAAATTTTCCAGAGGGGAAGCCCACCACGACCTCCGCCCGTGGTTCAGCTTAATGGTTTTCAACGAAAATGTGCGGGGCCGCATCAGCGCCGTCCCTAAGGATAACAGCATGTGTGTGTTTTCGTCCTATTTATTATGGCGACAGTCCCCCCATTTTTCGTGGTGAGACGTGTACTACACCTTTCAGCGTAGTACGTAGGGTACTACACTTTTCAGAGGATTTTTTCGTACAACTACAACCATCCAGGGTCACGCAGGAGGGGGTAAACACCAGGGCTTTTTTCTTTTTATCTATTTTCATGCCCCACCTTCCTCCTGCGGTGCGTGCTGAACTTTTGATTTTTATCGCGAGAAGGTTCCATCCAGCCGTCCCTTTCCCTCGTCAACGGTGCCAACGTCGAAGTTTGGTACTCACGAGAGCTTTTTAGCTATAGACTATTTCGCTTTCACCCGCAAATTTCGTAAATGTTTCGCCCCGTGGGGATTCGAACTCACAACCTCTGCGACGAGCGGATTACGAGGATACCACTAGACCACCGGGGCGACCGGTGATGCAGCATGACAACATGACAATGCCGAAGGCAGGCACGGCGGTGAAACGTGAAACGTCAGCAGCAGTTCATCCGCACGAACTACTAGCTGTCATACGCCCACCTCATCGAGCGGCTTGTTCGCCCTCACAACACCCACTTGTGCAGCCACACACCACACACCACACACCACACACCACACACCAGACACTGCACAGACACTGCACTGCTCCAATTCTCGAGGGCGAGGGAGAGAAGTAGAAGGTGGAACACCGCGAGAGGTGATGTTCGCCTCTAGCGTTTAGCCGCACTGCTACTAGATCTACAGCGGTAGTCTATGCAATACAGCCTAGTCCACAGCAATGAACGCCGATTGGTTCCCCCCTGCAGCCCCACCGCCATGCACAGCCAGTATGCATGTGGTGGTCTCCGCCGTGTAGGTCTGGGTGTATGGCCTGCCCGCTTGCCGACCCTGTGCTTTGTATCAGGTTGTAGGGGGGGTTGAGCCCTGCCTATATGCTTATAGTTAACATTTTCTTGGCCTCGGTCTTGCCGAAAGCGTGTGATTTCGAAAAGAGCGGGAAACAGCGTGCTCTGTTGGTTCGAAATTCAAATTTTTGCCTATTTACTTGAATCTGGGGTGTATTGCTGTAGACTTTATTCAAATTGTCTTTTCCGTCAAATTGCAGGAAATGCATCCCTCTCTCGGCGCACCACAGGCCAACATTTCCAAGTCCGCCATCTCGTTCTTTTCTCTCGCCGCCACTTCAAGTGCAATGGACCGAGGCCGTTGCCGCTGTCTTCGGTCCCTCTGCACACAGTGTTTTCGGCCCCTGCACTCCCAGTCAGTGCTTCAATCAGTCAGGGCTCCCGTTTGGCGCAGCATTCTGCACCTCGCACGCTCACTGCCTCTTTGTTTGCACTCATTCATCGATCAGCAGTCATCCTCGCATGCCCCGCAATCAACCATCATCGGTGCTGTCGTCCACGTCATCACCCACCACGCGTTTCCGCGAGCAGATATCCCTCTCTTCCCGTGTCCCTCTCGTCCCCTCTCTCTCACGCTCTCTCTCTACTCTCTTCTCCCTCTCATGTGACATACAGCAGTAGTAGTCACCTGCTCCGTAGTCCAACAACTCAGTCGCTTGGTCATAATCATCTCGTTTCAATCAGTAATTTTGTAGTCTGCAGTCATCCAATATATATATAGTCTATATATGCTTAGCTCAGTCTCAGTGAAATCCATGTGTACGCACACACAGGAAGGCCCGGAGAAGCAGAGTTTATTCGATCTTGAGTCGTCAGTCGTCTTCTTCAGGTCGTCGCATGTGCAATCGCAAGATATCAACCCCCAAGATATGACAATCATGGGTGACGCTGCTTCTCGACGCCCCCCGCACACGTTCGGTTGCACGCACACGCTCCTCACTCCTCAGGCTCTCCCACATCACACTCACTCTTACCCAGCCTGTGTTGAGTATCTCTTTTCTGCTCTTCTCTTTCTTTCGTAGATGTCGGAAAGGCGCAAGAAACATCTTTCAGACGTTTATGTCTCCCTGGCAGTAGCGCCAAGCGCAAAACTTCCGACTACGTATTTGGGGAAGTCCTCAGGAACTATGTAAGCAAACTCCGACGGGGCCGACTTGACGCGTTGCTGCGCGACCTTCGGCGGTTGCGCGAATTACGCCAATAGCGGCTGTAAGCTTTCTGTGCTATCACTGGCATCTCCCTGCACTACCTACCTAGCGGACATCACTCCCGGGATCCCCTGCCTCGGCGTCCCCAACCCTGCTGCGCCAAATTCGGGGTATACTTATTTTAGCTGTTGTTGTGTAGCAACCCGTCGTTTCGTAAAACTTTTGACGATTTGTTACCGGGGGTGTCCCTGGCATAGCCCGTCACTCAGATTGTCGGTCGGTTCGAGGTCCTTTTTCATTTGTTTTAGCCGTAGTTCACGTTAGAAACTCATCTCACCAACATCGGGAAAATCATATCACACGCAAACATCACGTGACAAATTCCACTCGGGGCCAGTGAAAAGCTGCGACATCGTATGCATTCAGCCGTTCATGCCAAAACACATGAACGTCATCAGGAAAAGCACGTGACACAAACATTATTTCCTCGATGCCCACGTCTTATCAATCGTGTCTCAAGCATAAACACGTGTCTTCAGGACGAAAAAAAGTATCTTGGAATCTCTTCTCTAAAAAGCGTGCGTGGCGGCGGAAGCCGCCGAAACCCTTGTAGTTGTACACATTGCACATCGCAGATAGAACACTGTCAGGTACGAGCCCGCCCGGGGCTCACTACCCCGCCCGCTAGTACAATAATTTATGTTTCGACGCACAGCGCTACGAAAAAATGCAAGGGGCCCTCCATCTGGAAACGTCGGTACACCCCTCCTGGGCTACGCTGCAATCTTGGTCGCGGGAGGGGGGGGGATGAGCCTTATATGTCCCCGGGCGAGGACATTTTGACAAAATCCCCGGGGTTTCGACATTTTTCGGGCGCTTTCTTCAGCGCGCGCGCGGGATCCCACACAGAGTCAGTGGAAACTACGGAAACACCCCAAGAATACGGGTCAATCTTGGTCGCGAGGTTTGTCTAGTGTATGGTGTAGGAAAAAGGATATATATATAGCGACACGAAGCCTACAAATGAAGAGAACTTCATGGGTTTTAGAATGCGGCACGAAAGTCTATTCAATGAAGAGTGCATTTTACTATGTGTTGGGGTGTTTGCTGTGCAAGACCGACTCTATTCTGCTGTATGTATGTGTTTGATACGGTATTATTGTGAAGGCGTTCTGTTTTACTGTAACCGTCAGGTGCAGACAGTCCAGGCGTCTGTCTGTGTGTGGATAATAAATCACTCTTTTTGTTTTCTCTATCAAGCCTCTACCACATACGCCAACAAGCGTACTACAGCTGTGGTACCGCCCAACAGGTTTTGAGCCACGTATAGCGAGGTAGGGAATCATCTCGAGTCAAATGGCGTCATCAGCGCAACAGCAGT